AAAAAGGCAATATAATTTGTTTTGTCTATATTTAGTAGTCATATCGCATCCTCTCATTCTGACATTGGAACCCGTATAAGTATGTTGCGCTCGCACTCCCATCGAACATCATGACTACTCTAACTACATACCTACTCGTCTGGTCTGGCAGACACTTGCAACTGCCAGAATAGGCTGGCTGTTTACATATACCAACATTACCAACTTTTTAAATCAATAAAATAATTTTCCCTCAAAATTTCAGCCTTGTGGGAGCAGATTAAAAATGATTGACCCTATAATAACTTTGCTATCGTCTGGCACATACTTGCAACCCTTAAAATAGGTTGTCATTTTTTTACGCTCAAACTCTGTGAGAACTGATTTACTGATTTAGGGATAGAAAATAATGGTTGCTCTATATCACTAACCTATTTTTGATATTCTCACCCCGATACACTCGCACGCCAAAAAAGCTTTATGCAAGGCAAGAGCATATCTAATTAAAGAATTGAATGTTGATGATCTCAAATGAGACGGCTTGGTAAAAATTGGTGGATCAATTATTTTAAAGATCTGAGAGACAGAAGATACAGGCCTCTAAAACGATGGTTATCTGCTACATGTAGTGTAGAATGTTTGAGGTTTTGCTATGGGGATGTTTTTTTTTTTGTTAAAAATCACGTCGCAAATGCAAGTAAACAGAATCGAACCGGATACCTAATTTTTAGGTTACCATTTACAATTCTCAATGATAACATCGATAACGGACTTCTTACGTAGTAAATCAGAAATTCCGAGTTGTGACGTCAGAACTATGAACTAAGAAGACAGATTGCACGACCGGGCTTCCCTAGCAAAGCCAGGGGCGGATGGGGAGCATAAAACCGGCCCGGGAAACCGTTGGCACCGGCCCGGCCTGCCAGATCAGTATTAGATTTTGGGGGCTGTGAATGAATCGCGCCGCAGCCAATTTTTTTTTAAGTTCAAGGTCACGGAGCTTCAAAACCTCCTAGTCCAATTTTTTTTGTTGATATTATTATTTTAGATCAAGTGCCTTAGAATCTTGCATTGGTCTCCAAAGCTATGGTCTTGAGAGTCTTTATCCTTAGGACATTTCGAAACCTTCAGGATTTTCAGAATCTTCAATCTGCAAAGGCCCTAGAATAATTGATCAAGACGCCGACATCTTTTGCATCTTCTGATTTTAGCTCAGTAAAGTTCTTATTTCAAAATATTTTGAAAAATGAGTCTTCAGAGACTACAAAATCCCCAGAGTTTTCAGTCATGAGCCTCAAAATCACTAAGGTGTTAAAAGTATAAGGATTCTTCCTAGTTTCAAGGCTTTAAATCAAGTGCGTTAGAATCTTGCATTGGTCTCCAAAGCTATGATCTTTAAAGTCTTCTTAGCTCTTAGCTCAGTAAAGTTCCCATTTCAAAATATTTGAAAAAAAATAGTCTTCAGAGACTTCAAAATCCCAAGAGTCTTCAGTTAAGACTTTTCAAGATCTCTAAGTTTTGCAAAGTATAAGGATTTTTCCAAGTTCCAAGGTGCCTTGGAATCTTGCATTGGTCTCCAAAGCTGTGGTATTTAGAGTCTTTATCCACGAGAAATTTTGAAACCTTCAGGATCTTCAGAATTCATAGTCTGCAATGGCTCTAGAATAATTGATCAAGACGCCAATATCTTCTGCATCTTCTGATGTTAGCTCAGTAAAGTCCTTCTTCCAAAATAGTTAATAAAGGAGTCTTCAGAAACTTCAAAATCACCAGAGTTTTCAGTCATGAGCCTCAAGACTCTTTAAGATCTCTAAGGTGATCGAAGTATAAGGACTCTTCCAAGTTCCAAGGCTTTAGATCAAGTGCCTTAGAATCCGGCATTGGTCTCCAAAGCTATGGTCTTTAGAGTCTTTATCCCCAAGACATTTCGAAACCTTCAGGATCTTCAGAATCATTAGTCTGCAATCTGCAATGGCCCTAGAATAATTGATCAAGACGCCGACATCTTTTGTATGTTCTGATCTCAGCTTAGTAAAGTCCTTATTTCAAAATATTTGAAAAAATGAGTCTTCGTAACCTTCAAAATCCCCAGAGTTTTTAGTCATGAGTCATGAGTCTCAAGACTTTTCAAGATGTCTAAGTTGTTCAAAATATTAGGATTCTTCTAAGTTCCAAGGATTTAGATCAAGTGCCTTAGAATCTTGCATTGGTCTCCAAAGCTGGTCTTTAGAGTCTTTATCCTCAAGATCTTGCGAAACCTTCAGAATCTTTAATCTGCAATGGCTCTAGAATAATACCGTTGATATGCCCGAAAAAAGGGGCGCGACACTAAAAAAATTGCCGCCTTCGGCGGGCCTGCCGTCCAGCGGCTACCTATCCCTGTCGTTATATCCAGCTTTTTGTCACAAGAAATATTATGGCCACCCTACATAAAAAGGGCCTCGCAATTTAGATGCCGCCGACGTCCACGTTTGTTTTGGCTTCGCCACTGAGCCGCGTATCGATTTCGCGAGGCAGGCTCGCGCGGCAAAAAATCTCCATTTGCCGCGCGAGCCACTTGAGACACAAACTTTGTTAAAGCGCGGCTGCCGCCCGCGGCATGCGGTCCAGATGTTTGTTTAGTTTTCGGGAAGCAACCATGGACGTTTCACGTGCACGAGCAGCCTGCTGCAAAACGTCATTTTGCCGCGCTATTCAACTCGAATAACGACACAAGCGTCTCAACTTGGTGCGAGCATTTCCTTTGCCGCGCTCCAAAAACCGTCAAAAATTGGTTCGCACCGCGGCGTGTTCGAGCACATGTTGGCTCGCGCGGCAAGTAGTATCCAATGAGCGCGGCTGCCGCGCGAGCCAATGTTCGACAGTTTGCCGCGGGTAATCGATACGCAACTTTAGCGTAACAATATCTATAACAACGTCATCACAAGATTTGGTGTAAATCAATAGTCCATCAAAAGAATTAAAGTCACCACTATTGTGGTAGAGACTGTACCCAGGGATTCGGAATTGTCGATCGTTATCAAGTTTATGACATTCCGTCAATATTATAACATTACATCTTGCTAGATTATATGATTGATTATTTCATTCATTATAAAATAGACCCATCAGACAATGTCATTTTTTGAATGAATTTTGTTTAAATAAGTGATTATTTCACAAGACCTTGTTTATCAGCGATTAAATTTTTGTTTACCTTTTTTGACAGAATTTTGATAGAAAATTCTGCCATTTTATAATAAATAGAACTCTTTGGATAGGATTGACGTCAACAATTCAATCCCAATTATTCAGGTAATAATCTAGCCGTATACCACTCGACCTATAAATTTAAATGGATTAAACTATCCAAATATTGTTTGCATAATTTTGCTTTTTGGCAAATAGTTTCATGCACAATAACTTTTGATTTATATCAGCAGTTAGGTTTTCGATCATTTTAATAATACCGGTTTGGTTTGGTTTTGGTAATGAATCTTTAGACGAACCAGAGAATCAAGAGTTTAGACGTACTCAGAGATCTAGGATGATTAAATTCCTGATCATACGGAAAAAGTTAACGAGCCTTCTTCAGTGCAAGAAGCTTCAGCTAGTGAATATGGTGATGAGTGTAAGAATGCTATCGATGAAGAAAGGCAATCAATGAAGGTCAATAATGCGTGGATTTTATAGTGCACATTTCTAAAGACAGAAAAATTATACAGTGTAAATGGATGTATCGAAAAAAAAATGGTGTGAATGGAATGGAAAAAAAAGATTTGAAGCTCATCGTCTTGTAGCCAAGGGTTATACCTACTCAAAAATATAGAGAGGACTATATAGAAACAATTTCTCCAGTTGTAAGGAATTCAACCATTAGTTTATTATTTGCATTGTCTAGACATTTTGATCTAGAAATAGATTTGATGTCACTATACGGACTTTTTAAATAGTGAGTTGAATGAAGAGATTTTTATCAATAAAGTTTGTTTACTGAATAGAGCTATTTATCGTTTAAAACAAAGTTCCAGAATGTGGAACAAGAAAGTTGAACATATCTGGTTGGTTTCGGATACGAAAAGTCTCAATATGAAAGCTGTGTTAACATTAAAAAATTATCAGATTCTTTAGTTATAATATCGAATAATGATATAGAAAAAGATAACTTAAAAAAGCACTTTGTCAAATCAAGAATTTGGGTCCGATCAAAAATCGCTTATGTTTGAATATAATATAAGAAAAAGGGTTTAACCTACCAAATAAAGATATTCCATATCGATGTTTGATTGGGTCATTATTGTTTCTTTTGTAGTAAACGTCCTAATATAGTTTTTGCAGTAAATTATTTAAGTTAGTACAATAATTGCTATACAAATGTTCATTTTCAACATGCTAAAAGGATGTTACATTATCTTGATAGGCTTAAGGCAGTTAGTTTTATAGAAAGATAATGATAATATTTGTGGATATATTGTGACGCAGACTGGGGAAATGACATTGATGATAGAAAATCATACAATGGATATGTTTTCAAGTTGGCTGGAGAGGCAATTTTTTGGGAGACAGAAACAAAGTTGCATAAGTTTATCCAGCATTGAAGCAAATTATGTTTCTTTGTCAAAAGAGGCTACATTTCTTAAGTATATTTTAAATGAGCTTTTGGGTTTGGAGGATGCAATTTTGATTCTCAATGATAAATCAAAATGCCCAGAAATTGGTAGTCTATGTTTCACAATCGTATTAAAAGTATTAATGTCAAGTATCATTTTATAAGAGGTGCAGTTGAGAATGGTAATAAATATTCAGTTAAATTAGGTATATGCCAACAGATAACTCTAGAAGTTTGCATGGACCAAAACATAATGAACCTGTGAAAAGTTCAGGTTTATGAATAATAGACGTTATTTAGGTTTTGCTAGATTGAAGGGAGGCAGTTACAGATGTTTTACCAGAATCACTTACCTACTATTATTGTGAATTTAGTTGTTTTTGTGGTAAAGAATACTGTACCTTTTTCCCAAATCAAGCAAATTCATTCCTACCTCAACTGAGTCATTTGCATCTGAGACAAAGCAGCGGCCCCATTAGCTCTAGCTCTCAGAGCTAGCAATTGCGAGTACCTCGGATCCTCTTGCATCCCTTTCTCGTCCATAGAATCTATAGCGGTTTGAAGGGCTCGTAAATTTTCCTGCCCTTGAGAGGCGGCAGGTCCTGGAGAGGTGCGATGGGTGGGCGAAGGTAGTCCCTGGGGCGAATGCTGGGGCTGTTGACTTTGTTGGTGGTGTTGAGGGTTGCCCTGTGGCGGTCCCGGGGACGGCGAACTCTTAAAACAAATTCCCAATATAAATAAAATAAATATTTCAGTATTCTTACCGCATCGTCCATGTTTATAACGTTGCAACGTGTAATAAAAATACGAGTCAAATAAAAACTAAAAAGGTATATTATATTTTGCTTTTTGCTGATAAGTTACTACATTATTAATGCTTATCAGTTTGTGAAAAATTATTGAATTTGAATATTTATTTTATTAATAATCCTATACCACCTTATAAATGTTATGTAGGTTTTAATTCAATTACATTATTATCAATAAATTCAACCTTGGCAGTGATAAATTTGAATTTCAATTAATGCAATGCAATTAAATAATATAGGAAATTATTTATTTAAATTACATTTTTACTCATTGAGCGTCGTAAATTGCAAATACATAATATTGAAACTTATCTACTTGAATTTTGTTTCATTCAAGGTATCTATGTCTATATTTATTTTTAATGAATTTCCTATTTTCTTCTTATTTCTAAATTGATTGTTTTACTTTTACTCAATTCCTCAAAGGAAACTTAAGTGAATAATTGAAACAAAATTCCTATATTTTGTACCTATTTGATGTCTCGTGACGTAAAAAATGGAAAGTATTCTGCATGATGAAATAATATACAGGTATTACTTCATCTAATGAGGGCTCATTATTACAATACAAATAAATAATTAATTATGCGTAATTTTCATGTAAATAAGTTGTACAAAAAAACTCAAAAAGATAAGCAAAAACATCATAGTTATAGTATTTTTAAATCAATCAACTATGAACCCCTAAAAACCCAATGGTACCTACATTAAGAAAACCCAATGTTATTGCAACAATGACGCACCTAAAAACAAGGAAATCGGTTTTTATTTATTTATAAAACCAAGAAAAAGAATCAGGTAACATAAAAAGAACCAGATCTTATGGTGGGATCGACAGTAGTTATTTGTGGTGGTACCCATTATTAAAATCAGTATTAGAAAAATTGTCTTGTGATCATGAGTGAGGTACAAAGTTATATGGATTTTGTGCTGCCTTTGGTACTAGAATCAGGCAAAGTAAGTACCAATTTGTTTATAGGTTGAATATATAGGACTATGAACTGAATCAGTCGTGCGAAGAAAATTAAGATATTTTCACCTTGACACAATCTAAGTACCTACAGAATTCTTCATAATAGTTTAAACTTTAGTGCAATTTATAAATAATTTTCATGATCTTTAATTCGTTTTTAACTCTAAAATGTTTAAAACAAATAAGATTACTTTTGTGATTTAGTTTCCACTTCAGACTAGTCCAAATTTTGAATCATTACTGGCTTTTGAATTGCTGGAACAAATGACGATAGTCCTAGAGCTCAAATTGTCCAATGTATCAAAAACTGGTAAGTAATGATTCAAAATTTGAAATTTTCTCGGCTCTTGAATTATCTTTAGAAAAATTGAACAGCAATTCAAGAGCCTGGAATAGTCAAAATTTTGAATTATTACTGGTTCTTGAATTGCTGGAACAAATCGTCGCTTATCTGACAAATGGGCGTAAATACCATAAGCATTATTTGACAGGAAAGCAATTCAAAGTAAATGTACCATATACATGGTTCCGTGTTTGTGTTAATTGAAAAGCAGTTTCAGTGATAATATTTTATTTAGACTGACTGCTAAATACGCAAACTTTTTCCAAATACTATTCGAATTCAAGAAATTTCAGGCGAACATGATAAATTATGACTTAGATTGACATACGTCCCTTCATCACATCTGAATATTATTGTTATCTTACGTAAGCCTAGTAATACACTTAACAAAACATTAGTAACAATCTGCGGTAAAGAACAAAAAGAAAATCCCACTCTATAAACGAAACACAAACAAAAGTTAACATTAAAAAAAATCGGTTAATGCGTATAAATCACAAGAAATAAACAAATTAACTTTATTCTAAAAAAAGAGAACGAGAAGCTAATTATTCCAATCATGAGGAAGGTCTTTGAAGAATTGTTGGAAAGTTTTGTCTCGTACGACTTGTATCCGACCTGTGCATAGATCCGTAAGATCTTTGTATTTATTTGCTGGGAGTTTTATCTGGCCACTGTTTGATTTGGGTATAGGTTCCTGGAGCACATCAGGTGGTAGTCTTTGTAGTGGCAGTTGCTGATATTCAGCATCATGGTGACTTTTTTTAACATTAATTACATTGACGTCACAATTACTTCCTTAATTTTGGTCCAGTCAACATTTCCACCAGAGTTCAATTTTCTGGTCACGCGAAGGCGGATTTTTTCAGCCAATGATTTATAATCAAGATATTCTTCGGTGGTCATTTCAAAAACCGTGTACGGAAATTTTTTTCTGGCGAGTCTAAAGATGGGGGGTAACTGAGCTGTGCTGGTATATAATTATTTCCGGCGGACCGAATTGCTGTTGAAATAGAACTGTGAGCGGAATCCCCTTCATTTTGCCCATGATTTTTTTGGAAAAGGGATAATACAATTTCACGTATGTTTTTTGAATTTGCGACAACTTGTGGTAACATGGTTAATTTTTGTTCTGGCCACCGCAACCATCTGCGAAGAGCCTGCTTACTTCTTTTATTCCTTGGTTGTCCAGTTGTGTACATATCTGCCAACCATGGAACCATGTAGACAGTTCATTGGCACCGCTTTTACTCATAACTTCCGACCCAAGAGAAGCAATAGCACTCTCTATTGCCTATATTGTGAATACTGAAGGTAAATATTGACCAACGACGACGATAAGACAATGCATTTTTCTTTACCTCTATGCTTTACTTTAGGTAACTTTAGAACTTGTTGCATGTCAAAAACAGCAGCAGCTATTAAATCTGGGTTGTTTTTGGACATTTCCTTACATCCTCCTTCTTTTTGCACACAATGTTTTTCTCGGCGACATTTGCAGTATATGCATCTTGAAGCTCTAATTTTTTTTTCATCGCCTTCCCTGTACGACAAACAAAGACTGCATTGGTCTTTCCTGAAATGGTAGAAGGACATATTCAGTGATTCAAATACTCTAGGGTCAGTAATATGGTAGCTGCATTTTGGCTGCTCCAGGCTCTCTTCTTGGTTCAAGTTAAACATTTGCTTCACGTTTAAGTTGGGATGTAAATATTCGTTTGAAGTCGATTTTCTACAAAAGAGCGACTCCATTTTTGGGAACTTTTGTATGTGAGTCAGAGCTGAAGCTCTCATAAATTCGTCTTTTTGTCTCAAGTTTGCATAATCATGGGCGCCGCCAGCCAGCGGGCCAGGGGGGAGGCAAGGCACGGGGGGTCCTGTCACCATACATACGCCACCGGTGTAAATTTTCGCAAGTGTGAAAGTCATTTTTATGTATGTATAAAATGTATGCTCTTTTGTGGATTTCTATTGACATATGTTTTAGTGTTCTATATTTTATTAAAAAAAAATTGAGAAAATTTTTGGATTAATTTTCTCTGCTATTCCATCCACAGACGCGTTTCAACCTATCAGGTCTCGTCAGTATGGCTAGGAAAGCAAAGAAAACCAATCCAAGTTTAGTGCCTGTAGGCAAAATAGTGGATAATAGGAGAAAACTTATTTTCCCTATTCTGGGTTTTCCCAACTATCTGATTTTTGGTCGGCCTATTAGATGGTCATCACTAAATACAGCAAAAGTGCTATTTAGTGTCGAATCCTAGTCTTAGATGGAGCCACAATCAAATTTCGCTCGTCGTACTATTTTATAATAAATAAATATATTTTTTCTGTGACGGGAAAAAAAGTAGACTTTTTGTACCTGCTGACAGGGGCAAAAATGTCACTTTTTCTCCCATGGGAAAAAAGTGATTTTTTTGCACACAACTGCCAGTGTGTTCTGAAACGTAGGTAAATTTACAAACTGGTAATGATCCTCTGTCTTTGGTAAACAATAAGCCAAAGTTCTTGTTCTTATGGACTCTGTGCAGCAGTTCTTCTCTTTTTAACATCATTCTCATTGATATGGCGTACAACAAATTCCCTCTGTAATTGAAGACTTTGTATATTGTAGAAAGCATGAAATATTTCGTGGCATTCTTCCTCAGTAAACAACTTGTAGTCATCATTTTTACATTTTTGAGAATCACATTGCGGCTTCATGATTCTTTGCGGAACTTGCTTCCTCAAAAAGGGACTCAAGTATGCTTTTCCTTCTGTTCTTAGGGTGCGCGCCATCTTTTTCATGTTGTTTTTGCTTATAACTACTGATAACTTACCTATAAAAAGAAACTACTGCAATAAAAGGCACACTCAAACTCAAACTTGATATCTTCACTTTCAACAAAAAATACCTGCAGCTTTTCCCTGTAGAGATAGAATGATTCACAAAATCAGTAGTAGGATAGTATTTTTACAATTTTTGGAGGATATATAAGAGACTGTTCAATTAAATATAGACAAACTATATATTTTAGGAATCGGGGCATTGTGCTCTTCAAGAATATACCGGGTGTTTTTCAAAATACGCTCACCCCTATAACTTTTTTATTTTTCATAATAAACAAATGAAATTTGGTGTGTTTATTTATGACCCGGATATGCATTATTTGACGTATTCAATTATTTATTATCACTTCCGGTTTGACCGGAAGTGACCGTCACTTTCTTATTTCGAATGAGACGCCAGGTATATTTTCTCTTATTTCAATAGAAAACTACATTACGAGTACAATGACACCTCATTTGTCACTTTTTGACATTTCATCTCTAAATTATTTAAATTTTCACTTTTTAATCTAGAGCGCCATGAATTAGTTAAAATGGTCAATTTTGCTCCAAGGAACCTGGGAAAATTTGTTTTGATCTTATTTTGTATTTTATATCCTCAACAGACTCATTTAAAGATAGTAGAAGCGCATTTTTGTAATTATCTCAATTTGTTCAAATGGAAAGGGTGTGGCTCATTACAATATTTCAAAAGAGCGTTTTCTAACGAGCAATTCAGTACCATACAATCGCTAGTTCATCTGTCAAATGAAGAATTTTCCTAGCATTCTAAATATTTTTGGAAAATTTCAGTTCAATATTTGAATAAACTAGCGATTGTGTGGTAATCAATTGTTCGTTAGAGAATGCTCTTTCAGAATATGCTAATGAGCCATACCCTTTTCATTTGAAAAAATTTGATATAATTCCAAAAATGCGCTTCTACTATCTTTAAATGAGTCTGTTGAGGATATAGAATACAAAATAAGATCAAAACAAATTTTCCCAGGTTCCATGGAGCAAAATTGAGCATTTTAACTAATTCATGGCGCGGTTTTTGACATGCAACAAGTTATTCAGTTACCTATAAGTAAAGAAAATGCATTGTCTTATCGTCGTCGTTTGTCGGTGTATTTACCTTCAGTATTCAAAATATAGGCAATAGAGAGTGCTACTGCTTCTCTTGGTCGGAAGGTATGAGTAAAAGCGGTGCCAATGAAATTTCTACATGGTTGGCAGATATTTACAAAACTGGACAACCAAGGAATAAAAGAATTAAGGCTCTTCGCAGATGGTTGTGGTGGCCAGAACAAAAATACAATCGTTTTCACCATGTTACTAAAAGTTGTCGCAAATTCAAAAAACATAGGTACGTAAAATTGTATTATCCTTTTTCCAAACAAATCATGGGTAAAAGGAGGGAATTCCGCCCACAGTTCTATTGCAACAGCAATTCGGTTCGCCGGAAATAATTATACACCAGCACACTTCAGTTACCCCCCATCTTTAGACTCGCCAGAAGAAATTTGCTGTACACGGTTTTTGAAATGACCACCGAAGAATTTCTTGATTATAAATCATTGGATGAAAAAATCCGCCTTCGCGTGACCAGAAAACTGAACTCTGGTGGAAATGTTGACTGGACCAAAATTAAAGAAGTAATGGTAAACAAAGATGACGTAACTGTAATCAATATTAAAAAAGTTACCATGATGCTGAAAATCAGAAACTGCCATTACCAGGGTTGGATGAACCCACCGGGATACCGGGAAATTCCCGGTGGGCCGATCAGAATGTGGGCCGATCTTTAGAACAACAAAACCTTTATCAAGATACCTTTAAACGGACGATCTTCATAAGGTCTGTTCTTACAGAAATCGACTGGTTCGTACCAGTCGTTTTTGATTGGTGCAAATCGACAACAAACAGTTTTCTGACTATTTTCAACCAATGAAATTTGACTGGTTTGTGATTTCTGTGAGAACAGACCTTATGAAAGCACAAAGAATTATTGGTCAATCCAATTCATGACGCACTGAAAAAGGAACAACGCAACATGGAAGAAATATTAGAAAGTGCTAAAAATGTCAAATGAGCAAATACAGTACTGGAAGCAAATGAAAAAAAGAAGTAACAGGGGAGGAAGCAGAGATGATACTCCTCCAGCTACTGCTATTTTTAAATTTGAGGTGGAAAGTACGCGATGTGGCCAATGATCGCATCATAATAAAAATAGAGGCATCTTATTCAAGGCATAGAGATAATTTGTCTTGTGCTAATTTTTCATAATCAATTTTTCCGAACTTATACCAGACGATGCTTTAAATAAAATTAGGTAGGTGACTTGGAAAAACTGTGCTTGAAAACTGTATGACCTCCCTGAATTTAACTATGAAGATGAAGATGATATAGGAAATGAATTAAAGTTGTTAAATGATTTAAGTTGTATGATCTCCCTGAATCAAACGATGAAGATGAAGAAGATGTAAATGGACGTGGATTAGAACTTTCTAAAAAAAGTGTTCTTCGCATTTACGCTGCAAACAATGTTTTGTTTTGTATAAGTAAAAATACAGATTTTACATCCGTGCTTACAGACATCTTTAGGGCCTACCAGTATGTCCTCACTTCAGCGTGCACACATTTAGGGTGCGAAAAATGCTTTTCAGTTTTCAACACTTTAATACATACAAAATCGATCAAGGAATTGACTTACAATGGAAAATTTGGATGCGTTGATGATAATGAACTTAAATATTATTAGATCACATCTAGGGGTGATGATGTATGGGCCGCTAGACTGAAATTTCCCGGCCCACTTCCAAAAGTTCGTCCAACCCTGGCCACTACGGCCACTACAAAGACCTGATGTGCTCCGAAAACCTATACCCAAATCAAACAGTGGCCAGATAAAACTCCCAGCAAATAAATACAAAGATCTTACGGATCTATGCACAGGTAGGTAGGACAAGTCGTGCGAGACAAAAATTCTTCAAAGATCTTCCCCATGATTGGAATAATAAGCTTCTCGTTCTCTTCTGTTAGAATAAAGTTATTTTGTTTATTTCTTGTGATTCATATGGATCAACCGATTCTTTTAATGTTAATTTTTGTTTGTGTTTCGTTTATAGAGTGGGAGTTTCTTTTGTTTTTTACCGTAGATTGTTACTAATGTTTTGTTAAGTACATTACTAGGCATAAGTAAGATAACAATAATATTCAAATCTGACGACGGGGCGTATGTCCATCTAAGTCATATTTTATCATGTTCGCGCCTGAAATTTCTTGAATTCGAATAGTATTTGGAAAAAGTATGTGTATTTAACTGTCTAAATAAAATATTATCACTGAAACGGCTTTTCAATTAACACAAACACGGAACCATGTATATGGTACATTTTCTTTAAATTGCTTTCCTGTCAAATAATGCTAATGGTACTTACGCCCATTTGTCAGATAAGCGACGAATAATAGGTTATTGTTCAAGTACAAATAAGTGGATTGTTGCGGAACTTATGGGTGGACCTCTGCGGGACCAGCGCAGCGAGTTCCGCAGCCATCTATTCACCAATATACTGCTGAACTGTTCAAGTAAGACATTCACCTGAACCATGTATAGTTTTTAAACTAATGAGAATAACTCACATTGATGACAACGGATTTTATCAGTAGAATTTTCATTGATATCAGTATATCAGTAGACCAGTGGCGAAATCAGTAGATCTATTGATAAATCAGTAGACCTGGCAACATGGTTCTAAAGCTCAAATTGTCCAATGCATCAGAAACTGGTAATGATTCAAAATGTGGAATACTTATTCCCGGCTCTTGGGGTGCTTTTAGAGAAATTGAACAGCAATTCAAGAGCCTAAAATAGTCCAAATTTTCAATTATTAAGTACTGGCTTTTGAATTGCTGGAACAAATGGCCATGGTCCTAAAGCTCAAATTGTCCAATGCATCAGAAACTGGTAATAATTCAAAATTAGGAATATTCCTGGCTCTTGGGTTGTTTTTAGAGAAATTGAACAACGTTTCAAAAGCCTGGAATAGTCCAAGTTTTGAATCATTACTGGTTTTTGAATTGCTGAAACAAATGGCCATGGTCCTAAAGCTCAAATCGTCCAATTCATCATGAACTGGTAATGATTCAAAATTTGAAAAATTGCCGGCTCTTGGGTTACTTTTAAAAAAATTGAAAAGCGAATCATTACTGGATCTTGAATTGTTATAGATTTTTTTCTGGAAAAAATGGACTATGCAAACTATAAATATGAAACTATTGTGTGCTTGAATTCTTTAGTTTCTGCCCTGCCATTTTTCAATTTTCAATAGCTTTCTATTTCAAGTATTTTTTAATCCAGCTCCAAATTAATCAAAAATATCTTTACAGGAATTGCTAACAGTAAAAAACATAATATCCGAAGCGAAAAACGGCAACGACTGGGACGTTGTCACAATCTACGACAGAAAAATCGAAAATCTACTGATCGACAAAATCAAAATGAAGTACAAAGATCACAAGTAACAATCGCAACTTATTTCTCACACATAAAACCTAATTTTTCGTCAACTAAAGATTTATAGGCGAAGAAGAATCGGCAGCCAAAAACACCATTTCAACCTTAACCGATTCGCCTACATGGATCATAGACCCAATAGACGGTACCGCCAATTTCGTCAAACAAATGCCCATAACTTGCATTTCGATCGGATTGACCATCAACCGAGAGCAAGTCTTGGGTTTGATCTACAATCCTTACATGGACGAGCTGTTTACAGCCCTTAGAGGCCAGGGAGCTTATTTAAATGGCAACAGGATTACAACGAGTGGAGAAACAAGTTAGAAATACAATCAATAATAATTATTATTAATTATTGTTTTGTAGAAATCAACAAATGCATATTCAACTATGAATTGTCTTTGGCAGCCCATGACGGTAGATTAAGGGAGCTTTACATGAGCAGATTGACAGCTTTAATCGATGTTGTTAGCGGGTAAATTTGTCGAGACAGTAATTATTGTCCCAACCGTGAAAATCCAATTTTTCAGGATTCGGTCGTACGGTTCGGCAGCTTTGGGATTGTGTTACGTAGCTTGCGGACGGATAGATGCATACCAGTGCGACGGGTTGTACCCTTGGGATGCTGCAGCGGGTACTTTGATTGTTAGAGAAGCTGGAGGCTACGTGATAGATTCTTCAGGTGAGGATTTTTCATGTAATTGTGAAAATTTGGTGGTACCAAATAGTGGTTCAGTTCAACTGTACTGGTACTTTGATCTTGAATTGATGTCAGAGAAATCTGTCAACTTGGATATTTTCGGACAGCAACACATTTTAATATCGACGATTCGCGCCAGATTTTGCTTTTTCTGATTAATTTTTGCGAAACTAAAAGAAAACAAAAAGTTTCGGAATATTAAAAATCAATCAAGTATACCTGGGGGTAGAAGTCCCCAACACAAAATTTAAATCCTTGCTTGCAGTAGTATAGCCTTTTTTTTCTGTTTCCTGCTTTTGCTTTTCCTAACCTATATAGTTTGAGAACTACATGAAAGAAGACACAGGGGGCCATCGGGGGGCCTCCGCCTAGTAATATGGAAGCAAAAAAGACAAATAGCCATAATTTTACCTATACTTTCAGAGATTCGAAACCCTACATGGTCGTAGTCGGAAGCAAGAATGAGGATCATATTGGAAACTTGCACCCCGTGAGTGTAGGTAGACTATTGAAAAACAGTAAAGTTGGTGGAGTTGAGAAAACCTCTAGAAAAGGGAAAAACAGAGTTGGAAATGAATTTACCGATTATACAGGGTGTCTACTTAGTGCGATATCGGACGATATCTCCTTACAGAGTGATTGCAAGAAAAAAAAATTAAATTCCAAAGTTGTTTGATACTCTAATATGCATTAGTTCAAAATATTACATGAAATCTACTCAGAATTTTACGTAGAATCCAAATATGCAATCACACACAGGGTGTTCCATTTAAAATAACAAAGTTATGTCGCATAGCCTATAAACGGAGCACCCTGTATATTCAAAAATATTTTTAACTAATATGCATATTAGAGTATCAAACAACTTTGTGTAATTTAAGTTTTTTTTCTTGCATCACCCTGTAAGGAGATATCGTCCGATATCGCAATAACTGGACACCCAGTATAAGTGCAAATGAATTTCTAAATAATAAAATATTAACGGATGAGAATCTAAACGCCTATATTCCAGCGAGTCTAGTTACCTGTAAAGGTATAGCCAGAGGGATCTACAGAAGTATACCTTCCAAGGGAAAGTGATTCCAAGGGCCGTTAACCTAGATTTCTATGATGTATTTGTATTAATTTCAGTATACATAAATAAGTCCAGTATGCATCTAAACATTCCGTATATGTATTTGGCACCTAGGTCTTTTCTATTGGTTCAGTGCGCCATGCGGTCACCACAGCTAGGTGCCAAACACATATACGAAACGTGATGTAGTGCTAACTTCGTAAACGGAATGTTGCACGTTCATAGCACTGACGATTTTGAGTTTTATAAGGGGAAAAACAAAAACATATTAATAGGTCGTCAAAAATCTATTTCAAAAAAGGAAATGGACCAAAAGGGAAAAAAATAATAAGTGCACCAATGTCCTTTTAAGTACATCATGTTTTGTTGCATTTGGTTGGTTTTGAGCTACGTTGGCCGAAATATTGTGACGGTGACGCCTTTTTAATCTCTTTTTGGGAGGCTCGTCTTTGAATGATCTTCCAAATGGCAATCTTTTCGAGCCCCAGTTAGCGGAACATGACTTGAAAAATGCACCATGATATCTACATTGGAATGTTTTATTGTAAATTTACACTTTTTCTGTTTATTCAGATATTACCAAACTAACCGGGCTTTCATTGGTTATACAACTCACTGTACATTATTCCCATATGACACGAGAGGCTTAATAAGTGATAAGCCTGTTGGGATTATCGCGCTTGGTGGCATTTATAGCAAATTCTATTATAGACATTTTTTTTAAATTTTAAAGTATTAAAGTTTGGTTCGTTGTATAACCTTCCGAATACCACTCGATGTTTTTGATTACCTAATACTTTTACCTGACACTCAACGCGTTACCAGCAACACCACTCCTCCTTCGGAGTCGTGGTGTTGCTGCGAAACGCGTTTCGTGACAGGTAAAAGTATTATCCGGTAATCCTGAAACCTCTTGTGGTATTACATTCGATAAGTTTGGTAAAGTCTGATTAAACAAAAAAAGTGTAAATTCACAGAAAAAGTGTAAAAAAAGGAACGAAAAATTTCTAGTTAGTAGCATTTAATTAAACGAACATTTTAATGTAGATATCTAGATTTAAATATTCATAATATGATGATTTGTGCATTTTTCAAGTAATATTCTGCTAATTTTATCTAAAGCTGGCAGAACATGTAATTTTTTAGGAAAAAAGGAGCATCAAATTTTCAATTAGTGCATTTAATTAGCATTTATTCAGCATTCAATTATGGTATAATTACATTTGTGTTCTGCTGACCTTGCTCTTCTAGCTTTAGGGACATTCTTTAGCACATGTTAATAAAAATCCCGCGAAACCATGAAGTAATCTGTGGTAATGCATACAGGGCCGTAGCTAGAGTCAAATTTGTGATAGGGCATGAAAAATTTGACATGGGGCATGTCTAAGGGGCATGCACTACTTCCCTTCCCCCCTCAAATTTTTACAGGTAAACAAAATGGGGGTAATGGCGCCGGAGGCAAATTTTTCAATAAATACCTAACATCTCTGGCAAGTAAACAAAATGGCGCGTTCAGGCAATAATTTTTGAGTATATACTACTTGTAAAATAACTGTATAGGTACCTACCAACTTACTCGGGTTTATTCATAAGCTGCGGTTAAACCGACATGGGAACCGTTTCAACCAGTAATTTCCAATTTCCCACCTAATTTTCAATAAGTTGAACGTTTATCCTACTTGACAAATGAATTGATTGACTGGAAATTACCGTTCTAGAACGGTTCTCATGTCGGTTGGAACAAAGCTTTCATCTACTCTTAAATTTCCTAGAGAAACCTCAACGCATGTTGTGCTTTAAAGGTAGGGCATCATTATTTGAAAGATAGGGCATCGCCCCCCCCCTGGCTACGGCCCTGAATGCATAGGTATCTACCGCCTAACATTCCGCATACGAATTTCGCACCAAATTACATTCCGTATATGCGTTTAGCACCTCGCCGTTTATTGGTTTAAATTCGACCACATGGTGCGACGGACCAATAGGATATGCCTGGGTGCCAAATACATATACGGAATGCTTAGATGCGTCCAGTATTGATGTGCTTTAAGTGCTTAAGGTACGGTCACACGGCTAAACAGTGCCGAGGTAAACAAAGATGCCCAATACGTGCGGAGGAGCATGAAGAAAGAAAGTGTACACAAAACACACCAAACTGTTTATATTGTAATATGGAGCACAAAGCTACAGACAGGCCATGTAAGGAATACCTGAGACAGAAAGCAATCAAAACCACTATGATCACAGAAAATATATCCTATTTTGATGTTGAGAATAAACATCCGAAATGAGATGAAATTTTAGGAAAGCGACTTGGACAAAGAATAAGTGATTTAGACCATAGAGATTTCCCAGCCCTTAATCATGCAAGAAGAGCTTCGGAAGGCAATACACCAATTGAAGTGAACCAGAGACATCTATACCTACATATCGAGACCCAACACACCAAGGAGCCCTTCATATGCCTCGGCGGCATGCAATCTCAAAAGGAAAATGCCCAGTTCACCAGGGTACGACAGAGAAGCGCAAAAAAAAATGTCTGATTCCTGCATCAGCTAGAACTCGAACCCAAATGAGCACAAAGGAAGGTTCGGTGGCAGGAAGTGCATATTCCATACAGCCAACACCAATATTAGATGTAATACAAGAAGTCATTGGAAAGACAACTTTGTCTCAGGAGGTGAAGGACTTTATTATGGGGGAAATCCACAATGCAACCCAGATATTTGGGGGATCCGATCAGGACGCAGATAGCCAATACCTACAGGAAGATGTACATGCTATTAGAGATTTACTCTCTACAATGGAACATTAGAAGCATTTTAAGAAATTATAGTGACCTTATTGTTTTGATAAATAGCGAAGACCCAGATGTAATACTTATCAATGAAACATGGCTCAAGGCAGATTATGTCTTGAAAGTCAAATATTATGTTACGCATAAATAAAGAGATGATGGAAGAGGAGGCATTGCTATACTGATCAAGGAAGGCATGCCGCATATTAAATGTAATATGAACAATAATTTCAATCAAAGGTTTCAAGCAATGGGAATTAAAATCAAAGACATGACTATTGTCACAGTTTATAGTCCAGCAGACGTCTCACTTTCTATAAACAACATCCATAACGCTTTTGGAGGGATACAAGCTCCATTTATTATTATGGGAGACATAAATGCCCAACACAGCCTATGGGGTTCGCAGATTAACAACTACAATGGTAGACACTTAATGGAATACATTGAGGATAAGAATCTAATAATATTAAATGACGGCAAGAACATAAGAATAATACCACCGAACTAAAACAGAAGTTGCCCAGACATAACAATGGTAACCCAGGATCTTGGAACATTCTGCAACTGGTCGGTCTCCAACCAGAGCGGACTTAGTGATCATTTGCCTACCATATGTGAAATAAGAAAACAGCTGCTAGATCAAAAGCACAGAAGGAAAACACTAAGGAAATGGAGAACTGATAAAGCTGACTGGGAAAAATATGAAACGGCGTTTTACAAGGGTGGGGGAGAAATTGAGAATTATCAAGCATCCTAAAGATAAAAAAGAAAGATAGTTTTAGGAGGTCACAGAAACATTAAGTAGAGAATCATCAATTGGATATGTCTGGAGGATTATTAAAAATTTTTCGAACAATATAGTAGATGAAGACAAACACACAGACAAGATACACTGAGCTAGTGATCTATTAGACACACTGGCTCCTCCGTTTGTCCGTATCAACCCCGAATTGGCGGCGAATAGGCGGAAGGAAGGAGATTGCTTTGAAATAGGAGAAGAAGAGTTAGAGATTGCTCTTCAAACAAAAAAGGACACCACTCCAGGATGCGATGGAATTACCTATCCGATGTTGTCAAGAATACCACCTTTTATGAGAGAATCACTGTTCCTTAACAAGATCTTGAAACAGGAAGCAGATATTCCGCAGGATTGTAGTAATCAAATTGTAATTCCGATCAAAAAACCCAAGAAAGACCCTGAAGACTACAAATCCTATAGACCAATTGTGATGACTTCCTGTTTGGGCAAAGTAATGGAAAACATTCTCAAGATGCGATTAGAGCATGTCCTGGAAAGAAAAAATTACTTCAATGCATTCCAGAATGGGTTTAGAAAAGGCAAAGGAACCATTGACAATCTGGTCATTTTGACCAATGCCATATATACAGCGCTTACCAAAAACGAAGTGGTAGTATGTTCCTTTATAGATATCCGTGCAGCCTATGACAATGAAAAGTCTGAGAGACAAGTTGAAAGAGGCCAAAGTCAATGAATGGATTTGTGATTACATTTACAATCTTTACTTAGATAGGAATATATAATATAAGGGAGCCCATTATTGGTAACTTAATAGGGCCTTAAAAAGCTAATATGGAGCTACCACAGGGGTCGCCCTTGAGCCCTTTGCTTTTCAACATACCAATCAGATTCAGGAAGTAGTCTCAGGGGGGGTAAGTACACTTTAGTATGCGGACGACATTGCTTTGTTGCGACTGTGAAAAAGGTGGAAAAAGGAATTAGGAAGGTGCAAGCTGATGCGATGGATAGATTGACTGGGTGGCTTAAGAGAAACAATATGGACATATCGACGGAAAAAACTAAAGCGATGCTGTTTTCCAAAGGAATATTCCAAGAACAAATATAAGGGTGTCAGATAGAGACATTGAATGGGTGGAGAAATACAAGTATTTGGGACTAATATTGGACAGAAAGCTGAAATGGAATGATCACGTGGTGTATGTTAGTGATAAGGCGCAGAAAGGTATCAATATTATGAGAGCAATCATAAGAATATGGTGGGGCGAATATTTCGCTGAATATAATAAAGGACTAGTTAGATCCCATTTTGATTATGGCTGTCAAGCCATGTATCACATGAATAAGATGAATATGAACAGATTGGATCGTATCCAGTACCAAGCCCTGAGGGGGGTGACTGGCTGTATGAAGAGCACACCCATAATGGCGCTGTTATTTGAAGCGGCTGAAATACCACTGGCTAAACGAAAAATCCTTAGTACAAGATTGATGCTCAGGAAAATGGCTTTAAAAGGGGATGAGGTTAACAAGAGGATAATCAACTTCTATGCGTTATATAACCAGGACCCTCCTTATTGGCGGGCCAAGGGCGCTCCGGCGATTATGGATGGAGCGGATTTTGTGCTTGCTTGCTTAAAATATTAGAAAAATCGGATAATCTACCATGTTACGATGAAGATATGAAAGCTCAAATGCGAAAAATAGAATGGGTTGATTCGAACATACGAAAGGATAGCCTAGATGCTCAAGTAAAACTGCAGGAAATTTTGGAGGAATATATAGATTATCAACATATCTACACAGATGCATCTTTGGACCCTATAACAGCACAGTGCGGAATTGGAGTTTTTAATAACACAAATAAATTTTCATTAATAGGAAAATGTCAGGATTCAACTAATATTTACTCAGCAGAGGTGCTGGCCATTTATGCAGCCTTGAATACCTTGGAGAATGATAAAATAAAGGTTGGTAGAGTAGTAGAGCACGTTAAGAACCAGGAAAAATATTCTAGAAATGCAGGACGGGCGTGTGGAAATTAAAACGATATGGGTGCCTAGTCACTCAGGCATAACAGGAAATGATAAGGCAGATGACCTTGCATGAAGGGGCCGTAAGGCTAACGTCTTTGTAAATGAAACATTCCACTATGAGGATCTGGCCAGAATAACTAAGGAAGAAACATGGAGGGAATGAGCTGTGGAATATTCTAATAAAATCATTGGAACCAGTATCACAAATTAGTCAAGGAACCTCTACTACCATGGTTCAGTAAAATAGTGAAAATATATAGACAGAAAGCTAGTGTTTTTTCAAGAATGAGAACGGCACATTGCCTCATACACCTTCGTAAACTTGGTATGCAGGACAGTGAGAATTGTGAATGTGGAGAAGTGAGTGATCTGAATCACGTACTATTGCACTGTGAGCTTAATAGAGACCTGACAGACAGGCTGTATACAAGTTTGATTGGAATGAAGGATGGAAGAAATTTTGATGAATCCATCTAGTAGGGAGGCTGCTGTAGTGATGGATTTTATTAAAAAGCACCATATAAGTATTTAAACAGATGCGGTAGATGTTTGACGCTTTTGTAGATGTGCACGCTTTTAGTCTTTGTTAATTTTTGCGAATTGAGTTTTGAATTGCATGATAGGCGTAATGTGTAATTGAAATTGAAAAAGGTTTTCTACGAATGTCTTATTTTCCTGGCGCTCCAATTTCCCAGCTGAAGACGCCACAGCTAAAATTACCCATCTGATCATATTTTGAAAACTAAAGTATCCGCCAAAAGAGTGGAATCCTGCTGTCTTGAGGATACAATTTTTGGAATTCTGGCTGACTGTTGCGAGACGACAAGGGGCCCTAAGAAACTGAGAAGAAGAACACATTTCAAATGGAAAAGATTTTGGTACTTGATCTACGTACCAAAATAACTTCTATTGGAATTTACTTCTGTGGGTCAAATTTCCATTATTCCCGGCTCTTTTAGTTGGTTTGTAATGATTTCAACCATTAATTTGGATTTTGCTAAATCAAACTAGCCTCTAGTTAAATTTGATTGGTTCAGACTAAGATAATTCAAATCTTGTTTATTTCCTGCTTTTGAATGGATTACAACTCAGTAAATACACTACAGCTTTAGAAATCTCTTCAAAAACACATTGTATATCAAGGAGTATGTTTTTTTAGAGGAAATCTAAATAGTTCATTTAGAAGCCTTTGAAATTGTCTACAAACCCTGAAAGTTTGAGCAGTTCACGATAATTTTTCAAAAAGTTATAAAGTGTTAAAGATTATTAGGTATGTACAATGTTCTATTTATTTTAACTGAAAATATTGATTACCTACACAGATACCTGCAAAGGTAGGTAGGTAGACAGAATTTTCCATTAGAATCAATAAAAGACTTCTGCATGTAAATATAGAGTAAATTGTATTCAAGTGTATTGTATTGTTTATATTGCAATCAGAATGAAATATATTATCAAACAATTTAAAAATTTACTGGGTGTTCCATTCAAAAAAATGCTATTTGTGTGCATAACTGTCAAAATATATTAGTCATTTGTTTTTTGTCCACCCTATCTAAAACTTGGAAAAGAACCATTCAGTATGTTTTTATATTTATTTAAATAACTTCAAAAATAAAGAAATTATGACAGTTTGAAATGTTATCAAGAAAAAATGACCACACTGTACATGAATTGTTCAGGCTTTTAAATATAGAATCTTGGAACTTTTCTAAGACACATGGTACAATATTCAAATTTCCAAGATTTATAGAGAATTTCAAAAACTTTCAGATAGGATAGTAAAAATATTGGAAAAAATATGCCATCATAAACTACAGGATCATTTTGAGAAACCTGATGAGAACATAAAAGTCTCTTAATAAATACTTTGTATATCAAGGAGTAATTTTTTTAGAGGAAATCAAAATAGTTCATCTGAAAGCCTTCGAAATTCTCTACAAACCCTGAAAGTTTGAGCAATTTACGATAATTTTTCAAAAAAATATAAAACGTTAAAGATTATTATGTATGTACAATTTTGAAATTTTTTTAATTGTTCAGGCTTTCAAATTTAGAATCTTGGAACTTTTCTAAGACACATGTTACAATATTCAAAATTTCAGGATTTATAGAGAATTCTAAATGGGATACTAAAAATATTCGAAAAAAAAATGCCATCACAAACTACAGGGTGATTCTAAGGAACCTGCAAACATAAAAGTTTCACAAAAAAACACCTTGTATATCAAAGAGTAATTTTTTAAAAGAAAATCTAAATAGTTCATCTGAAAGCCATTGAAATTCTCTACAAACCCTGATAGTTTCAGCAATTTACAATAATTTTCCAAAAAGTTATAAAGTGTTAGAGATTATTATATACAATTTTGAAAAACTTTGAATTGTTTAGGATTTCAAATTTAGAATCTTGGAACTTTTCTAAAACACATGGTACAATGTTCATATTTTCAGGATTTATAGAGAATTTCAAAGACTTTTAGATGGGATACTGAAAATATTGGAAAAGAAATGCCATCATAAACTACAGGGTTGTCTGATTATTTCTAATAATACAAAACAAATTCATTTCCTTTTTCAGGCAAACCCTTTGATTTAATGAACCCGAACTTCCTGGCCACCTCAACCGAGACTCTGAGCCAGCAATTTATGAGCATAGAAAGGAGTGTAGACGTTTCAAGGCTCAACATCAACGAAAAAACCGTTTAATCTATTATTTACTTATAAAACACCATGCACAATAAATTTGTTAATCTTAAATAAAATAGAAACATTACATTTTTAATTTACATATTTGTCTTTTTGCGTCGTCCAAACATTTACTGTGGAATTAGCAGCAATAATGTCTTTAGAAAATAATTGAAATTTCTATTGTAATAATTAGGTTAGACATTATACACAAGGGACTCAATTTAACTTAAATTAATGCTTCAATAAACAGCACCCAAATACAGATATTAAAACAATGAATTTCGCCCAAAACGTGTTCAGTATCTTAACAAAAATGGCTTCGACCAAAGACCAAGTTCACGAGTACTACGATTTCATTTTGCCTTTGGTACTGCAAGCCGGAAAAGTGCTGACAGATGCGGAACAAGTCGAAGTCGAATTTAAAAAGGACATTTGGGATTTGGTTACCGTCCATGACAGAAAAATCGAAGAAGTACTTATACAGAGTATCAAGGACAAATATCCTAGTCACAAGTAAGTGAAGAGGAATCTAGCTGGATTGAGTAGGAAAATTTCAACTTTGGGATTTATAGATCAACAGTTCATAGAGATGTTTTTGTGTCAAATAGTTCATTATGTGAAGTATTACTTCAGACTTTAGAATTCCTCATCTTTTCCTACCCACTCTACTACTTATTTTGTAGTGTTTGTAAAAGACACTGATGATGAAATTTCAAAAATCTAGTTTCTACAGCAAATTTTATGACTTTTATAACACAATCTACCTGTTTTGTAGTCTCTGTTTCTGAGTTTCATGGCTGCTACCTATTAATTCTAAATAAGCTCTCCTTTCTCTACATTTCTACTTATAAGTGTCTTGTAAATTATGTAAATAATTCCATAGAATATTCAAATTTCATCACAATTTTGTAGATATATCGGTGAAGAAGACACAGAAAGCAAAAAATCAACGCCAAAACTCACAGACGATCCGACTTGGATAATCGATCCCATAGATGGCACAGCCAACTTTGTACGAGGAATGCCCATTACCGGAATTTCCGTAGGACTTACCATCAACAAAGAGCAATGGCTGGGAATCGTCTACAATCCTTATTTCAACGAATTGTTCACCGCCATCAAGGGCGAAGGGGCTTTTTTGAACGGAAAAAGAATTCACACTAGCGGATGTAAAGGTACTTTAGGACTACTAGACACATAAAACGAACTAGGATTTTACAATAAAATTATCTAGTATCCTGATATTTTTCTTTGCTTCTAGAAATTGCAAAATCAGTAATCGGTTACGAAATAACTATTGCAAGAAGAAACGAATACTATTACAACCTTTACATGTACCGCCTCAAACATCTCATGCCAATTATCCAAGGGTAAGTCATTATAATCATAGACAAAATACCATTGAACAAATCCATTCTAGAATCCGCTCTCTGGGCTGCATAATTTTGGGACTTTGTTACGTGGCTTGTGGTAGAACTGATGCTTACCAATGCGACGGTCAATACCCGTGGGATTTGGCCGCGGGCGGTTTGATACTGACCGAAGCTGGCGGTCACCTGGTCGATTCTTTCGGTAAAGATTTGGATTTGATGGAGCCGAATTTTTTGGGCGGCGCCACCAAGGAGTTGGTTGATCAGTATATGGAAGTTGAACGGAAAGCTGACGAGGAACGAATCAATGCTGATGAATTAAAGAGGAAGTTTTCGCCTTAGATTGTTTTGTATGGAATAAAATTGTTGAAGAATTTGTTTATTTAATTTTAAAATTGCTAAAAAATTGAAGTTATTTGCAAACCAGCGAAGCTTGTGATGTTATCTCAAAAGCATAGGTAGGTATTCTAAGCTTCAAATTTAGAAATAGATTCTTGTTTAAATGACGTTTGTACTGTGTACATACTATAAATATGAAGTAATAAAATCAGCAAATAAATCTAGAAATAGCAATTCATTGGTTATTAGAAGTTGGATTTGCAGATCTTGAGACATTCTGTTTTCCTAGGAAGATTTTTAGGATTTTACAGGTTCTTCGACAACAAAAATCTTAAAAAGTCAAAATGTCTTGGTTCTTGAATCGGATCCTAAATTTTTGGTCCCATTTTTCTCTGGAAAACACTGGAAAAATGAATCTTGATTGATTTTCTTGGTTCTTGAATGCGGATTTTGGCATCAGATCCTAAATTCTTGTTCATTCCTTTCCTAATTTTTCGTCTTTGTTTTTTGATAAGACTGGGAGAATTTTTGAATCCTAAATCCTGAATCATTCTTTGGATTTTGCTTTGAGAAGATTTTTATTGAATCCTGAGTAATTTATTGGTTTGGCACATTTCTTTACACGTTTTCCTTGTTACTTAGTTGTTACTAAATTTGCGATTTTTTTACTCGTTAATACACTGAGAAAATCATAAAATTACTGTAAAATCGTCTTTGAGGGTTCCTGAAAAATACTTTGAGCCATCCCAGCAATTTGAAACTTTCAGGATTCATTAATTAGAGTTTTTCCATGATACAAAACAAATTGAAAGGTGATATGAAACTGAAACTCGCAACTAAAGTCGCGAGTTTTTTTGCTCATTAATATTTGAGAAAATCATAAAATTTCTATGAAATCGTCTTCGAAGGTTCCTGAAAAATACTGTTAGGGCAAGTAAATAAACTTATGTATATTTCTCCAATATATCGTTGCCGTTGACCAGCTGAAAACAAGTGACGGAGAATTTTGTTCGTCGCCAAGGAAAGATTGTTTAATTATTGTCACATTGTCAAATTATTAATATATTTTGTAATTTTGTATTGAAAATTCAATTCAACGATCAGTTTCATTTATACAGTCCACTGTTGGAGCTAACATTTTGGTCCTATCGACACGGATACGTTATTGTTTTCTCCAGTCAATTTTCGCAGTCAAAGCGGGGAAGGGCCAAGGCGGTCATTGTTCTATCTGTTCCTGTTGGCATTGGCTCAGTTAAATGGTTCAACCGGGTGACGTTGGTGTAGCACCTTAGGCCAATACAGGGAGTTCCAGTCTGGAATATTAGTCGTCAAAGTGTTGTAAGTCCGTTCTATTAATTATTACAGCATAGATAATTGGCAATTCATTTGGTTTTGTGTTGTGTTTGAGATCTGGTAAGTAAGTACTGAAATCATTTATTGCGCAGTTGTTGCCTTTTATATTTTTCGGCTTTGAATATTATGGCGGATTTACGCAAATTGAAATTGAAAAGAGGTACTCTGAAAGGTAATTTAACTAGAATAAAAGGGTTTCTCGATAAACTTGATTTAGAAAAGCTATCCGAATTAGACTTGATTCAAATCGAAACTCGGCTAGAAAATGTTGAACTTCTTTTATCTCAGTTCAATGATGTCCAGATGGATATAGAGTGTCAATTGTCTTTAGATACAACAGCTGAGGGTGTTGAGGTAGATATAGATGTCATTATTGAATCTGAAAATGTTGAAAGGTTTATTTTGAAAAAGAATATTTTTCTATTCTCAAGAGAATTAAATCAATTTTGAACAATTCAGGTGTTGACAATCAGTCAGGTAGCGCCGGTAGCGGTGGAGCATCTCGTGCTAGTAATGCTCCACAGCAAGTGAGTCAAAAACCGTCTATAAAGTTGCCTGATCTAAAATTACCTGTTTTTGATGGCTCTTATGGCAAGTGGCTCGAATTTAGAGATGCCTTTCGTGCTATTGTCCATGAGAATGTGCATTTGTCGAACGTGGAGAAGTTCTTCTATTTGAAATCTTTTCTTAGTGAAGAACCATTGCATGCAATTGCTAATTTGCAGGTTACTAATGACAATTATCCCAATGCTTGGACTATCTTGACCGATAGATGAAAACAATCGTCTAATTATTTATAATTATATCAAGGATTTGTTTGATTGTCCAAAAGTCATGAAAGAGTCATATACTGAGCTTAGAAAAGTATACGATATATTCAATAAAAATTTAAGATCTTTGAAAAGCCTTGGTCAGGAAGTTGAGCATTGGGACACACTCATTGTATTCATGCTCACAAATAAATTCGATCTCATAACTCTTCGAGAATGGGAATCCTTTCAGGTAAAAAGTAACGAACTTCCTAGTTTGGAAGACATTAACAAATTCTTGAAGGCAAGATGCGAGTTATTGGAAAAGTTGGAATCCTCAAAAATGGAAATTAAATCAGAAAAAATTAAATGTCATTTGGCAGCTACGCCACAAAATAAATTTTCTTGTTATTTTTGTAATAAGCCACACTCCATTTATAAATGTTTCGCATTCAGGAATTTGAATGTGCAAGCTCGACTCGCAGCTATAAGTGAATTAAAATTGTGTTTGAATTGTTTTAGTCCAGAACACACAAGCAACTGTTCAAAGTCGAGCTCTTGTCGTCATTGTGGCCAGAAACATAATTCACTATTGCATTCTGAGGAGTATCCGGTGCCCCCGTCAGCTGAACCTGAGAGTGCTGTTGTGTTGAGCGCCATGACTCCATCCATTGAATCTGGGAAAAATTATAATACAACGTTATCACTGCTAGCCACTGCTAAAATTCGAGTTCTAGGTAGGGACGGAGTGATTTACATTGTTCGAGCCTTACTTGATCCAGGATCGCAGAGCAATTTCATGTCGGAATGTTTGGTTAACAAATTGGGTCTCCAGAAACATTGCGTTAATTTCAAAATTATTGGAGTAGGTCAAGCGTTGTCAGCTACGGCGAGTTCCAGAGTAGATGTGACTGTCATGTCGAATGTAAATAATCATTTGGAAGAAACTATTCCTTGTTTGGTCATTTCCAAAATAACTCAGAATTTGCCATCGGTGTCCTTTGACATTTCCAAATGGAATATTCCCAAAAATGTAAGTTTAGCTGACGAAGCATTCAATTCACGAGGTAACATCGACATGTTGTTAGGTAATGACGTATTCTTCAGAATACTGCTTATGAAACAAATTCGTTCTACTGGTATGCCAGTTCTTCAAAAGACTAGATTGGGCTGGATTATTGGTGGTAACTTTAATCCGTTATGTGGTTTCAATTCTCAGGACAGGGTAATGGCATGTCTTTCGTTAGAGCAGAAAATAGATCGAGATTTGACAAAATTCTGGGAACTAGAGGAATGTGACTGGAATGTAAAGGTTATGTCTAAGGCCGAAGAATATTGCGAAAGTCATTTTGTCAACAACTTTTCTCGCGATTCTGAAGGTCGTTTTGTTGTCAAATTTCCATTCAAAGAAACTGTTGGTCAACTAGGTCTTTCCAGGCAAATGGCTTGTAAGAGATTACTTTTTTTGGAAAAACGCTTACACAAGGACGCATGGTTAAAGAAAGAATATGTCTCGTTTATTAATGAATACAGCGATCTTGGTCATATGACGAAAATTTCAGACTTTTCGATGGATTCGAGGGATTCAAATAAGTATTTTTATCTACCACATCATGCAGTTGTCAAACAAGCCAGTTTGACAACCAAGGTCCGAGTTGTCTTTGATGCTTCAGCACAAAGCGATACTGGGGTTTCTTTGAATGACGTGCAATATGTGGGCCCAACCATTCAAAATGATTTATTATCTATTCTTCTAAATTTTCGAATTTTTCCCTATGTGATCAATACTGATATTGCGAAGATGTACCGACAAATCTTGATTAATCCTTCTGAACGTGGATATCAAAGAATTTTATGGAGAAATCCTGACAATCAATCCGCCGACATTGAATGTTTTGAGCTTAACACCGTGACATACGGTTGTGCTTCTTCACCGTTTCTGGCGGTTCGAACTTTGTATCAATTGGGTCTAGAATTTAAAGATAAATATCCTGAAGCAAGCCAGGCTATAATGAAATGTTTTTATCTTGATGACTTAATGACTGCCCAACAAACAATCAAGGTTAAAATTACTTCCATTTGACCACTGAACTGGTCGAAAATTTTGCATGACCAATTTCAAATAGGGATTATTTACTTCCATTTGTTTTCCTTTTTCCCAAAGTGGGGAATAGAACTGAAGTAATTTAGAAGTCAATATTAGGTTGATAAGGTATTTATAACCAATTGGTCAAAAATACCAAAAAGAAAATATAGTACTGTTTAGGGTATTTTGTGGTAAATCCGCAGACATTTATTCCAATGGTATGACATAAATCTGACCTAAATCTAACAACAATCACCAAAACACGCTCTCCGTCTTTTTTTTTTCAGAATAATAGAAACCTATTGGTTATAAATATGATGACTGCTGCTGTTTGAGGTTTAAATCTTGCTTTTAGTTAAACTCTTTTTAAACAATAAAGAATTGATTGATTGATTGATTGCTTTTAGTTAAACTTGTTGAAGTAATGGCTTCCGTATACCGTATGGTAATGATTCAATGGAATTAATTGTATTTAGTAGGTATACCCAGCACTGTGAAACAAAAATTCTATGCGGAGCGATCATTTTCGTGAAATGTGGACAAAATATTCCCACAAAATTAAGGCGCCCTTGAAATAAGCGTTTTCGAGGAATTTTATTATCTATTTTTGTTGATATTCTGATACTCACATAACCCCAAAATAAATTTGCTTTGTTTTTAGAAGTAAGCTGTTAACCATATACCCTGAAATGTGTTTTTATTTGATTTACTTGCTTTTGGAAGGTTTAAAATGATATATTTCGAACATATTATAGAATATTTTTGATTGGATTTTGATAATAGTGGATGAATTAATATGGCTATTTTGGCTCAGTTAAGCTGGCCCCCCCCAGTTTAATTTTTTTGCTCAAAAAGCTAGCGCAGATAGAGGATAGCTAGCGCAGGCTAGCGCACCACTTTTAAAAGCTAGCGCACCGACCCCCGCGGAAGTAGCAGGGAATGCGATCGGGGGGGGGGGGGGGCAGATTAACGCTAGCCCCCCCCAGTTAATATTTTTGTCTCAAAATGCTAGCGCAGAATGAGGACACCTAGCGCAGGCTAGCGC